ATTTTTCGCCGTCCCGTCGCGACCGAGGTTGCTACACTCATGATGTAGAGTTTACAAAATTTGACCCTCATTCACTTATTTAAATTTTGTCTCATACAGCAACAGATGAAAAACCAAACAGTTTATCCAGCTCTCCAGAGTGGGCTTGAAAAGAAGACTTGGTTTGGAGAAGGAACACCATAGAATGTTTAGAGTTGTTAGTCGATGCGGGATTTTTGCCTATATTTTATCTTACTTTGGGATAAGATCTTTAAAGCCAGGATCAAGCTGAGATTCTTCACAGCACGGTTCTTGTTGTTAATTACAAACAATCTTGTTCAAGTTGAATACAAAATGCAGAAAACAAGGCAAATGATGTTTTAGAACATAGACTCGTTCAAAGTCCCACTCATTCATGGATCTAAACCTGATATAAGAGAATGCTATTGATGACAAAGGCACAGAACCAAAAAGCAAAAATATGATCATCACTGCTTCATTGGTAGAAGTAGAGAAATTTCCAAAGACACGTTAGGACTTTGTGTTATGAAATATGAACAGAGGAAGGCTGGACTTTTTCACGTTAATCACAGACTCGCCATAGCGTTTTGATTGTTTTCTTTTCAAACTTTATCAAAGCAAAAGTTGGAAACAATTTCTGGGTGTTTTTAAATGTGGGCTCATAAAACACTATAGGATGTTTTACTTTTCAAACTTTATCAAAGCAAAAGTTGGAATCGATTTCGGGATGTTTTTAAATGTGGGCTCATAACACACTTTAGGATGTGTAGAACATCCGAATGAATCTAAATCGATCCAATCCGAATTATAAAAATTGAAAGAATTCACTTTACAAAACAAGTTTAATTAATCAATCAATCCAATTTTACAAAATGAATTAATTCGTTTAATTTTTTTTTGAAAAAATCAAATCATATCAATTTTTTTTTATAAAGATAAGAAAGATTACAAAAATGATCGCAATAAAAATTAAACCTACCCCCAACCCTTCCCCACCCAACCACTAGACTAACTCTAGTGGTTAAATCATATCAGTTTAAAGTAAATAGCTAAACTATACCAAATTAATCCAATTTTATCCATTTTTTTAGAAAAAACCAACGAAACCATTTTATAAAATGAATTGGTTTGGATTTTTCACAAATCTAATCCCCGAATATCCGTAACCACCAACAATACTTTTCAGCACCGGAATGACAAGGCAGACAGTAAAGGAAACCAAAACAAAATGGTCAATGACAAGAACAACGAAAAACACACCACTAGCCTAAATGCCTAATGTAATTAAAGAAAAGCCACAACTGTTTCAAAATTATTCCCACGTCAAATTTCTCAATAACGCATCCATACTTGAGGAAACAAATCAAAGTGTAACAAACAGCAGAGCTTCCAGTCCGTAGGGGCATTAAAATTGGTACTACATAACCACTTAAAAACATGCAGCATGTGGCATAAGCATTGAGGTAGGAAGTTATCTAACTATACAAGTAACGAGTCATCCATGTCTCGAAGCGAGACCAAGCAAGCTGAACTGCAGCTTCATCTTCATCAGGCATTCCCATGTCCTTCCTCCTCTGGATTCCTTCTGGAGACCTGTTCATGAATGCATGTGCATTGCCAGGATAGAAATGTACCTCATGTGGAACTCCGGATGCCTTCAACTTCTCCTCCAAGGCCTTGCCTGCCTGAGACATCAAACAATGTCAATACAACACTCAGCGGATTAAAGTTAGACATTTTCCTCTATGGATGTCAACACAATTGTGCTCTTTCTCCTTCCCTTCCTATTCATTATGACGAAGTTCTACTAAGAGTGACTGAAATGTACCCTGTCCGACAAAATACTCATAAAAAATAAGGGGTATATTTTTCAAATAAGTTTTAAAATGAAGAGCAAGATTACGATGTCGATGTTAGTTATTATGAAAACAATGGAAAACAAAAATGTTTCAGAACGTGCATGCATTGGCAACAGCTTGGTGATAGAAAGGTCAGAAACTCAAATTAATAAATGTTTTATTTCCCTAAACCTTACAGTTTTCTCTCTTAAAAAGATACATCACATGGGGAAATTGAAATCTGTATCATATAAGCTTAAAAACTTCCCCAGTTTTATTTAGGGTATCTGGGTATGCCTAGTATAAGAGGTTGATAATGGGAAGAAGGACATTGCGGGGAATAAAGAAGTGATGGAGAAAAAGGTTTTGTTTTACGCTTAATGATGTTATCAAGAAGGTGAATTATTTCGTATGTCTTACTGATCAAAATATGAGTGAAATTAAAATAGAACTGCAAGGAAATTCTCATACGGTAACATCTGAAAAGCCAACAAAATTGTCCAGCTCTCCAAAGTGAGCCTGAACAGGAGCCTTTGCTTGGGAAGGGTCTGCAAGCTCGGAAGAAGGAACTCCATAGAATGCAACAACAGCGTCAACTTCTGGAATCAAGATAGAACTCGCAATAGATAGAGCACCTCCCATACAAAATCCAGTTACACCAACCTGTGGCAATAAATGATGATGAAATTTTTTTTTTATAATTATTGCATAATGTTTACTTTAATATCCTAATATTTAGACAGTTAAATTAAACTTTATTGGAAAACATATAAAACAATGTTTTTTTGGCACTTTAATCTATGTATATAATCACGAATATCAAACTTTATAACAATACTCTCTATCCATAATAATTATCTTAACTCAACAAAATGCTCTAACAAACACAATATTGTGAGAGACCTACATGGCTACATTTACAGTAAAAACACACAAAAGCTCAGCAAAATTATGTACTAATTGTAAGATACATTTTAAAAAATTTCCTGTAAAACAACTCCGATTAATTAGATCAATATATCAACATGATCTTAAGATAATATAGTATAATATAATAATATTCTTCTAAATGGAAAATAAAAGGAAAATGGACCCAAAAGACCATTTATTGACTGTTGTTAGTTGTGCATTTCAAATTCATTATTTCACTAGTCATTGGATCAAAATATTAAGTATAAATTAAAGTTTACTATAAACCTCCAAATCAAAATTCAAAAACAGCAAACCTGGAGATATCATTAGTAAATTATAAGCTGGAGCTATCTTTAAGCGCCTAAAGAAACTTCCCTTTCACTCATTCAGTTCCTTACATAATAAATAAGACTTAAAGTAACTCATTCTAAGGTTAGCTAAAGTCTTTATGAGTTGATAAAAAGTAGAACCTTCTGCAACTACTGCCTGATGAGAAAAGCACAATGAACTGTACTGTAGATGTCAGAGCCTTTTTAATAATAGAGAATTTTTCATCTTGAAAACACAAACAATGCCAAACCTTCTTCGAACCATTTGCTTTAAGCCAGTTAACTGAAGCAGCGATATCCTTCACAGCGCCTGGCCAATCAAGACCATCCATCAAATGCTGAGCTTCAGCAGTATCCAGACCAACCTTTCCTCTATACAGACTGGTTAAAAATAACAAAAGCATCAATCATCCAAATGTAGCATGTGAAACATTGCCATAAAAAGGAATTAGGAAAATTTAGGAAGTTCCATTATCTTATCTTACTCTGGAATAAGAGCCTTAAACCCAGTACCAAGCTGCAAAAGCATCAATCATCCAAATGTAGCATGTGAAACATTGCCATAAAAAGGAATTAGGAAAATTTAGGAAGTTCCATTATCTTATCTTACTCTGGAATAAGAGCCTTAAACCCAGTACCAAGCTGAGAAATCTTCACAGCATGGTTCTTAATTTCAAAATCCACACCCCACCACTCCTGAATCACAACAATTCCAGGAGCATCCTCTTTTCCAACAACATATGCGTCAAATGTCTGATCATGGTAAACAAAAATTGCATAACAAAATTAAAAATCGAGTTTCAGCACAGATAGCAAGCACGGAACAGTTATAGTATGATGGAAAATTTTAGGTCCAACACTATGACTAGGAACAATATCTTGTTAAAACCATTCCAGTCTAAATAAAAATTTTATGCTGCAAACTACATCAAACGCAGAAATACATCAAATTCATAGGGCATGAAAGGTCAGTAGCACAGCATAAAATAATCAGATCTAACTACAATCCACTTGTCAGGCACGGATTATCGAGAAGAGCCACTGGGCATATCTACCGGTTTCCACCCAGTAAGCACGGTGCACAAGGGTAAGTGAAACGAAGGTAGCATTCGGTTGCAAAAGATGATATTGATAAAGACCCAAGATAGTATATATGATGAAAAACCATCATCACAAAACATCGATCAAAAAATTTGCAACTTTTATTTTTGGGTGTGTTGCAAACAAAAATCTTCACTATAGATGTTCATAGAATCCCGTCAAGGAAGAAAAATAAAAACAAGTCAAAGGTTAATTTGGCTGTTGCAATTGCAAAATCGGGGACGATTATGTTTTGTATTAAAAAAAAGTAATGGAAATATAGTAAGCAAAAAGAGCAAAATAAGTGAATAATAGGAGTGAATGTAGTCTACAAAGAAAGAAATAAAAGGGCAATGGAAATGAAGGAGGGCACACTCACAGTGTCATCCCTTTGAATCTGAATTTTCTTGAAAGGGGATGATGCAGTGGTAGCCATGGAATGGAAATGGAGCACAGCGAGAAGCAAAATGGGAGAATTTCGTTTGATTTTAGGAACAATCAGGAATCATGGCCAATTTTATAATAGAACACCCAACGACTATGGAACCATGTCGTTTGATTTGATTTTAGCTTTTAGGAACACCAAATATTATAAGTGAAATTAAACTATTTGTCTAATAATATTTTTTTAAAATATATTTGTTGTAACGAGTATCAATCTGCCGACCATCCTTAATTAGTTTCTAACTAATTTTTTTTATGCATGAAACTACAAGAGAGACCTTATTTAAGAAGATAAAATTATTTATCACTCATAAGAAGAGATTATTTTTTTTTAATTTTTAAATTTAAAAATTATTTATAAAATAAATAGTATATTTAGGTCAATAACTTAAATTTGTAAATATTATAACGACCCGTCGTGGCCGTCACACTACAAAATAACGCTATACACTACTAGAATATATATATTAAAATAGTATAATAAAATATTTGCAACACAAGTTGTTAATCAAACAACCAACAACAATCAATTATATACAACAAAGTATGTTACTATAAGGTAGCCTAAAAAAAATATCCATCTTTAGGCACCTCCTGTGACCTCTAGTAGCTATCTCCCAGCCTATCCCTGTCCTGCTCCCATACAACGTATGATCATCGCAGTCCAAATCACATAGAAACATGCAAGGGTAAGCTAGAGACAATAAACAACTTATAAATATCAAATATGCGACATAACAACTATATAATCATTTTCACATCCGACACAGAAGATAAACAACACATATATTACTCATCTTTCAACAACACATGTTTAAAACAGCTTACAACATAACAACACTATCATCATCCTCAACATGATCAACATACAACACAATCATAACTTAACAACATAACAACATAGATACAACTTTTATCAACAACAAATCAACTCATCAACAACTTATGCGTCGTCATGCATTTCAACTCAGAGATCTCCAACAACTGAGGTTGAGCAGTCTAGGTGGCATAAACCCTACTGAATCTAGCGTTTGACCTATCTCAACCAGGTCAGGTATAGAACAGCGTTAGGAACTCCGAAGAGAACCAGGTATAGACAACAATAGGAGATTGCTCAGGTGTGCCACTTAGACTCGGAGGTCCAGTACTACTGTCAGGACAGAAGGGTTTGGGTATGAGCCTACCACGGCCTTGGCTAGCATCACCAATCCACATATGGAGTTAGCTCACCCACTGTCCTCCAAGTACCACGCACCCTCCAGTACCTAGTGAAAGACTACATCTCTAACTAGATACCTTACTCAAATTGGTCATTCAACCATGACATGGATCGACTACTTCCATGTCGCCCACACAGTACTAAGGGATTCAACTTTAAAATAACTTTCAACTTATCTCCTTAGTACTATGTATCTCAACATAGGACATATATCTTCACCATATGTCCCCAACTTTTCAACTTTACAACAATAAACACCATAACAACTTTACAATAATAAACATTTGGCCGCTTATAATCGGTATAGCTCGGCCTGGCCCCTATACCGTGGTCGCTTTGTACACGTGTACCTCGACCTTGCCCACACACGGGATCAACTAAGTCCTAGAGGAGAACAACACAACGTCCACTCCAAGGGACAACTTCCCAAGGAGGGTTTTTCAACAAATTGGGCTCTCAGAGCACCACAACTATCTCAATCCATACAATGGGATGAGCAACTTTGAAAACATGTCCCCTAGTCCTAGTGATCAACAACTCATCATCACAGCTTAATCAGCTTAACAACTTAAACAACATACAACTTTTCAACTCATCAACTCAATCAACATTCAACTTGAACAACATAGTTTATCAGTACAACAACTCATCAACATTGTTTAACAACACATCTAAACAACTCAACAACTCATTTCAACTTTAAACAACACAATATTAGCTCAACTCATAATTTACAACTCAATCATCATAAGATAATCTCTTTTTGACACATGGCACAACATACAACTTTAAGCAACATACAACTTTATACTTAACATGCATCTCTTCATTTCACTTTCTACTCATCATACATCTCAATGTAATTATACAACTTCTTATTCAATTATACAACTATGCAACTTTAATAATTTTAACAACATGCAAACAACTTAATTAAACAACTATAGGCCTTACAATATCAACTTAATGCAACTTAACAACTTTATAAACAACTTCAGCAATATATAACATATTTAAAATTCATCTATCATGTCAACTTACACAATATAAACAACATAAATCAACTTAAGCACCCAACAACTCAACTATTTCAACAAAAGAACACCATGCATAAAGCTTCCCTAACTCTCTTGAAATTAAACAACCTACATTCTAGCTTCCCTCACCTGAAGATTGGCTCAAAGTAGCCAAGAACTGAGAAGAAGCGAAATTCCCTTTCCGAAGCTCAACCCGGGACTTCAATCCACCCAAAGCAAGCTTCCTAATCCAGAGTCCTTCTCTCTAAAAATCTCCATTTTCCTCAACTGCCCACAACCTCGATTTATAGAAGTATGAACTGGCTAGAACGGTCCGTTCCAAATCCGGAATGGCCAGTTCTGGGCTCCTTCATCATGTGTAAAATTCACATGCAGAGCGGTCCGTTTTGGCACTAGGGGTGTTCAAAAAAACCAAAAGAACCGAACTGGATTTAAAACTGTACTATACCATTTTAAAAAAACTAGAACCAATTGTAAAAAAAATGGACTAGATATATATTTTTAAATATAAGTTTAAAAACCGAACCTATTTTTTAAGAGGGTCGGTTCACTTAAAACTAAAAGAACCGAACTGGATTTAAACTGTACTGTACCACTGGTGCTTTCGCGTCGGGCGTTGTTTCCGCTGCTGTCGGGGATGATGGTTCTGTTTGGGTGTGGGGGAAGTCAAAACGCGGTCAACTCGGCCTTGGCAAACATGTCACTGAGGCTATTGTGCCTACCAAAATGGAAGCACATTCTGGAGAGAACGTAGCCAAGGTTTCGTTTGGATGGGGGCATGCTCTTGCTCGAACTTCGGATGGAAAGTTGCTCGAACCTAATTGTTTAAAGCTGGTACATTTCTTAAAATCGGTTAAAATCAGTTTATTTCTTAAAATCAGTTTTAAAAACTAGTTTGATTTTGAAACTGGTTTTAAACCGATTATAAACCTGTTTATTAAAATAATTCAGTTTTAAACCGATTTATTAAAGTGGTTCAAATGGTTTATAAACTCTTTCAATTTAATAAAATGGTGTGGTTCAGTTCAATGTGTTTTTTGGAAAAACCAAACCATGCACACCCCTATTTGGCACATCTAGAACGACCCGTTCTAAAATCAGAACGACTCGTTCTAGAGTGAAATTTAACTCACAATGACCATTTTGGAACGGCCTGTTCCAGTCCAAGATTCATAGGCCTATTTAGTAGTTTGGAACGACCCGTTCCAGTCTGGGAATAGCCCGTTCTGAGCTACTAAATCACCTTTATTTTAGTAGTTTGGAATAGTCTGTTCCAATCTAGGAACGTCCCGTTCCAGTCTACTAACTACGTTACAAATATAATTTTTATAAAAAGAATAAATCATTTTTATGAAACTGGAAATTTATAATTTATGATAATTTTCAATCTTTTTTCATTTTAAATTAATTTATTACATAAAAATTATTTTTTAATATTCTAATGAAATTAAATATCTTAAATTAATTTTCAGCAAGTTTATTTAAACAAAATTTATGTTAATTATAATCGATTAAAACAGTTTAAGTAAAATATCCATAAATTTATTAAAAGTAAAATTTGAACACAAACTATTTTCATATATATGTATAAAAATATTTTAGTACTAAGTCAAATAATTTCTTATTAACATATGTAATAAATATTATATATATATATATATATATATATATA